AAAAAAAAGAAAGAAGAGAGAGTGAAATAAAGAAGTCAGATGCAAAAAAAAAAGTTAAAATGAAAAAAGAAAGAAAAAGAGCCCGACGGTCCAGATAAAGGTCACCCAGACTGTCTAGCACTCAATGAAATGTCCCCAAGTTGTTTTGACTTCCTATTTACCTAGGGGTCCCCTCCCCCTCTCTCCATGGTTCCTTTGAACATCTGTCCACCCAGGCTCCAGAACCTTCTCCAGTTTCCCTTCCAGAGACTTGTTCAGTACAGAATCCCTCAGCAATGCTGTCTGAACACCACTGCACAGGGCGCCCCGCTTCCCCCCCACAAAGCAGGACAAGTAGCAAACCTGCCAAAGCCTCTTGGTGTGGAGCGGAGGCTGACTCACAAGCACATGCCATACAGAAGAGAACTGTGCTCGGCCTGCACCCACGCCCCTCAACCCCGGGTGGGTTCAAACTGCCAACGATGCCAGTGGTTGGGTTGGAAATAAACTAGGGGTAGGGTCATGAGTTGAACTTTGGGCTGGCAACTGCAAGATGGGCTGTTCCAACCTACCAGCCAGCTGCTCCTCGGGAGAAAGATGGCCGTCTGCTCCTGTAAAGTCGGAGGAGGGAAACCCTCCGGGGCAGACCTGCCCCGTGCTGCAGGGTCTCGGGGAGTTGGAATGGACTTGAAGACAAGGGAGTATGAGCATTTTGGTTGGTAGAGAAGAAAAGGGGGCAGGGGGCTAATTTAGATAGGGAACGAAGGCAATCTTCCCAGAGACCAGAGCCTGGAGCAGCAGGTGTAGGAAGGGCTGGAGGAAGAATTCCAGAGAGGGGGACCCACAGAGGCAAAGACCCTGAGCCTCCAAGCATAGACCATGGCTGACTGACTTAGTTTGAGAAACCAACACTAGTTGCCAGAGAGCCTGCCCTGCTTCACAGTGACCCGGTGAGAGTCACAGAACTGGATTCCCTAAGACCTTCAGGGCTGATTTTTTGGGGGGGAGGGGGCACCAGAGATTGCTAGCCCTCTCTTCCAAGGTACCTCTGGGTAGACCCGAACCTCAGTCGTTAACCATTTGCAACGATAAACACTGAAAAGCCAAAAGTGGACTCCGACTAATGGCAACCCTAGCTAGGGTCTTTGATGGGAGCAGAGAGATTCAACTTTGTCCTATGGAGTGGTGGGTAGATTCGAACGGCTGTCCTTGGGGTGAGCAGCCAAAGGTATAACCCAGGGCTCCCCTGAGAAATGAGAGCATAGACAAATGCCCCCCCCCCCCCCCCACACACACACACATTTCTCTGAATCTAAAATACTATTCTCAGGTAACTGCAGAGCCCCCTCCC